ATATATATATATATTAAAAGTTAGACATTTATCGTTTTGTTTATATTAAATAACATTTAAAATAAAATATAAACTTGAATAGCTGGTTTGCCCGAGTGGTTAAGGGGGGAGACTTAAGATCTTCTGCACACAAGTGCGCGTGGGTTCGAACCCCACAGCCAGCAGTTATTTTTTAATATTTAGTTATTCAACATATTTTTATAATATTGCGTAAAATGCAATTTTATTAATTATATTTTAAATTTACAATTCATATGGCAGTTAACCTGCGTGGAATCGGCTAAAATGGATATAGGGTTTGTTTTGCACAAATTTTTCTTCGCGGTGCGGCGGGAAGTCTCAATTTAAGATCGTTTGGAGCGGTGCTTTACTCGCGGCGAACGCGAATCTGAGGGAAGAGTTGGCAGCCGGTGAGACCCTGCGGCCCGCGGTATTGCTTCGAGTTTTTACTCCCCTACCCCTTTTCCATTCACCTTCGCTTGCTCCGTCGAGTGCGAGTTTCCTCTGCCAATCGGAAGACCTCTCTCGTTCTCGATGCCGATTGGAACGAAGATGCCGAGGAGGTGCTCTGATCTATCGAGTCTGCCCATGCCTCCGCTAAGAGGAGTCTTAATCTCAGTGTCGTCGCCTCCCTGGTCGGGCAAGCGTAGCTTCTCCTTTTGGTTGAAAATGGCAATCTCATTAGCAAGCTTGATCGGTCCCCTTGCCCTAGGAATCTACTCTGTAATTTCTCTTCGATACCTTGCAATGTTCATATCTTCCTCTCAAATGTTATTCCTTCTATATGCTTTGAATATATTTTCGAAGTTGTAATTTCTAATAGCAGGACGTTAGGTTGAATCTTCATTCGTCATAATATTATTGTTTTCTTCTTTCTTAACCGAAATTAATATTCACATTTTATTGTCTTGTTCAAAATCGATATTCTTGTTTTTCTCTATATATCAAATATGTGTTTTTTTTTCGTGGAGGGTGAGTTACTATTTTCTCATTTTTGTGATACATATATTTAAAAGATTCATTTTGACAAAACAATAGATGTGATGTCATTTGTTTCAAACTTCCTATGTTGTTACTTATTGCGTTTACAATCATATCTGTCAGTAGAAGTATGCTAGATGACTTGATGGAGTAGAGTGTTTTTTTCGTGCTCTAATAGCATGAAGCAAAGGCTGGTTTTTAGTAGAAAGGAAGTTTCTTTTAAAAGTCTATTAATCCATCTGTTTTTATAAAGTGAAGAATGAATTTAAGCGGTGATTGGGATTTGTTCTGTTTTGAAATGAATTTTTACTTCTGAATTATCAAATATATGGTTGTCGTCACAGTTTTGTTTTAAACAATTTTACTAAAGAGGGGCAAAATTGTCATTTTTTCAGAAACAATTGTCGCACAACTGTTTTCACACAGCTGCAACAAACAGACAACCAGTTTCCCTGCAGCAGCTTCCTAGGGCAGCGCATCTGCAGCTGACAAACTGAGAAGTTGCAGCTGCGCCAAACATAACATTTATGCGCGAAATTTTATATGATATCGCGATGAAAAATTGAATTGAGTTATATCCGGCTGACTCAAATAGAGCTATTTTGATCAAATTTAGCTTGGAAATGTCTTGATTCCGCTCAAATTTGAGTTATCCACTCAAAGTTGAGTTACTTTGATTTATTCCAACTCAAAATTTGCTTTTGAATTGTTACATTCAATTTTACCAATCCTTATATATTCCATTCAATTCTAAATTTGAATCAATTTTTGAACTCAAAATTTGCTCGTGATTTGTAATATTTGATATCAAGATGAAAAATTGAATCGAGTTTTATCCGGTTGAGTCAAATATAGCTATTTAGATAAATTTTCGCTCGGAATTGGCAAGATTCGACTCAAAGATGAGGTATTTTGATTTATTTCAACTCAAAATTCGCCCGTGATTTGTTATATTTATTTATACTTAGCCTTATGTATATAATTTTAGCTTGTTTATTTCGATTCAATCATAAATTCGAATCAATTTTTGAACGATTAACAATCATTAATCTAAATTAACAACCCCAACAATTCATACATTACTTTAGGACACTTAGGATACTAATTTATTATAATTACAAGGGACATTTACATAACATACATACCACTTAACGTTTGGGAGGGTGTTTTTGCAGCGGTGGCGTTTTGAAAAAGCCCCTCGCGTTTGGAAAACAAGTCTCGGATGCATTTTGTAAAACGGAGTTTCCATTTTATTATTAGACGTGTATCGCGGGATCCTACCCGCAATCCACATTTCATTGTATGGAAAGACTCTCGATTCCCCTTGCCGCTCCTCTGCCCTAATTTCGCAAGTAGCTCTCGCGCATTGCGAGATTCTCCCATTTCCTTCGTATCTCCTATGTAGAATTCTAATCGAGTCCCTGAAGTTATGCTTGTGAGAATGTTATTTTTGTTTTGTTTCTTTGGATGTTCACGGTGTCATCTTTCAGAGAATGCTAATCGAGTCCCTGAAAGATTTCTGTTGGATTTATTTTCATGGTTTCATCTTCCTGATTTTTATATTACGCCATTCTGCATTTCTTTGCAAATGGATCTGATGTTATTTCTTTGGATGTCCACAGTTTCATCTTCCTCGTCGAATTAGCAGGATGGTTTGGAATTTTTTTTTATCAAGCAGACAATTACCGATGGATCTGATGTTTCTGGTTATGGATCTGATGTTATTTCTGGTTATGGATCTGATATTTGGTACTTGTATTGTGTATTATCTATGCTTCTTTGTGTTGATACTATTATTTGGAAGTGTTGATGGACTTCCTACAGTGATATTCTTTGATCATTATGAGGCATTGAAGGAAAATATGGGGTCAAAATTGGAGGCATTGCTTTTAGAAGCTAAACTAGAGTAACTAGTTCAACTTCTCGAATAAAGGCCAAATGCAAATTTACAACATGAGGGCCTTTAACTTGGCAGCATGATGAATGCTAAATTAATGAGTCAAACCCTTAAATTGTTTGATTGTGTTTGGCTCAGTAATAGCTGCCTTCTGTTGCACTTGACATTTTCTAAAGTAAACGTGGTTGCATTGTGTTTGAGAAGGAAAGCTTCTTAAATGTGATTACAAAACCAAACAACTTATCAGGAAAGCTTACATATCGACAAATCAACTGTTTACAAAATGCACAAACCAAACAGCTGCAGCTTATTCAAAACAGGAGCAGATTGGTCATTTTTCCAGAATCAGTTGTTCTATAAACACAAAAACCAAACAGACAGGCAGTTAATCCTGATCAGCTACTTATCATCAGATTATCAAGATAAGCTGGATAAGCTGCAACTACCTCAAACAGGCCCTTAATTTCTCTGTCTGTTCATATCTGCTATTTAAATTTTATTTTTTGTATTTATTCCATTTAAAATTAGGTGGTATGTATGTAAATTTCCATTTTTTATTTTTATAAACCAAGAGCGAGTGTTTTAACATTTTTTTTTTAAATTTTGATTATTCAATAATAAAAATAACATGCCATTTTGGAACCAATTCTCTGACCCGATTATTCATAATAAACTCTTAAAAAGAAAGATTTACATATATACCCCTCAATTCCTAAGAGAAAATATTACATCATGACTCCAAACACAATTTGCTTTCGGAGTCCAATGATGGGGCGCCACATGTCAAGTGGGCCCTACCGCAATACACTGGCATTGACCAAAGGCGCCACATGTCAAGTGGGCCCCACCGCAATACACTGGCATTGACCAGTGTT